GCACCGCCACCACTGCCACCACCACCACCACCACAGCAACATGCATCCAGCGTCACTTCTTCCTCCTCCACCACAGTCCCAATGCCAGTATCCTCCCAGAAAAGAAAGAGAGATGAGGAGAAAGATTCATCAGCTCCCAAGTCCAAGAAAAAGAAAATGATTTCTACTACCTCAAAGGAAACAAAGAAGGACACAAAGCTTTACTGCATCTGTAAAACGCCTTATGATGAGTCTAAGTGAGTAGTGAATGCCATAGCCTTTTATTGTGTATTCTTAGCTTTAGGTTTAGTATTTAGCTGTTAGTGCAAGGTAGTTCTAGAATTGGAGATAGAGTATCAGGTTTTATTGCAGCGATCACTAAGGTATAAAGAATAAAGTCTCTGTTTTCCACTAGCAGTTGCAAAACTATTAACATACTTGACTTATAATATTAATGTATGTGATTTATATTTCTACTTGTTTGCATGTTTCCATTGTATGACCTTTCTGTCTCACATACACATACTCTTTTTTTCTTTTTTTTTCCTCCGCTCTGTTACTCTTTCTTTTGCCGTTTTGCCTCTGCCTCAGAAGCAAGTGACAATTTGGTTTGAGCAATTTCTTGTGAACAAGTAGCTGACGTTCTTTAGAAATAGCTTTGGTACCGTCTTCAAATAAATTACTGTTTTGTAAGTCAGTAGCCAGCAAAGGGGGTTCCAAGTTACTGGACTGCAGTTCACTTTGGACAATATTTCAGGTAGAAATAGTTTCCATGTGTTATAATTTACATCCCAGGGTTGATAAAAAATGAATATGTAAGCATTTGACAAAGTGAAAACTGCAGTTCTCTGTAGTTTGATTCTGACTGCGAATGAGGAAAAATGTTTACGCCACGTACAAGATTTATGAAGAAATTTAGTAAGTGGTGGAGTGGAAGATTCAGTGGATTGCAGGGGAATAGTGTTATGCGTTCCTGCTTATGCTAGAAGTGACTAACATTATTAGTTAGTAGTGGTTAATATCTGATAGCTGTGTAGAGATGTATGTAAAATAACACTTACTTCAGACCCATTCCAAGTGAGTATGTATCTGCTCAAAAAGTGACAATACCCAAAAGTTTTAATTGGTGCCATTTGGTGGTGGTTTGAATGCTGATAAGAGAAAGAAACCATAGAGGTAGAGTAGTGCTTTCACTCCAGTAATGGTTCTTCGTTCCAAATTTAGGGCCCAAACTAGAGGATCTCTTGAGGTTCCTTCTAGCCTTTTTGGGGTTTTAATTTTAATTTTTTTTCTAAATGAGGTTGAGATATTTGGGGGAGGGTTCACCTTGGTTGTTCAGTAGCTCTGACCATTACACCGTTACATCAGTGTGGGAAATTGAACTGTTCTCTGTGCTGCCATTACTGTAGGAACAGCAGACTTCTGATGCCCTGGTTGTTAATTCACCACCACTTCTAAGGGATGTCACCAGTCTCACTTAAAGAACAAACGTTGTGTTAGGCTTTCTGTCATCCAATAAACTTAGGAGGATACCGTGTTCTCCTTTTGTTGTGATACTGAACAAAGGTCTGTGTATTACTGCTTCTGTTGTTAGTAAGTGGTAGAACTGTCACAAAAATAAGATGGGGTGAACAAATTGTGTGAGCAAAAGGATTTGATTGTCAGACTAACTCTTTCTGTTGACTGTTGTGGGCATTTGAGTAAGCTGATGAAAAATGTGATCATAGAGTGAATTTCGGTAACCTGAATCGAGAACTGTGCTTAAATGCACAGAATAAAACTTCAAGAAAATGAAATGTTAATAACTTAGTAGTATCTTTAGCAATATGATTCAGTTCTACTGCTTTGCTTTTTGTGAACTCTAAATTTTATGTTCTTACAAATGCTGACTGTACTATTGAACTACATTATCCTTTCACTATTTGGAAAGGGATTAGTCAAGTTTTAAAACAGTTTTCTGGTAAGCTTTTTTATTTTTATGTATATCTATATATAGATATGCATCAGATATTCCTCTTTGTGCTGGTGTCTCTTTTCTGCTTCTCGTATATTATCAATACCCTATGTGGTTTTTAGGCTGTAGTAAATCCTCAAAAGTCACTCCGTGTTGTGTGTTTTATTGCAAATCTCTTATGTTTAGTTCTCATTTGTGATACTTCAGGCTTACAGGGATTTGCTCATATTGTTTTCAAGGATGATCAGTTAGGGTATCTTTCTACAATTCCTACTTAGATTCCAGCTTGTTTGTTAAAGCATAACGTGACACCCGTTCCACATTCTAGTGGCAAGGTTTAGTGTCTACACCTAGACATAAATGTGCTTCCACATCACCAGGAGCAGGCAGAGACAGTCCCTCTTGGAAAGAAGACATGGGCTGAATCATTGTTGATAGTTGTCAGAAGGAGCTATATCTATGCATTCTTTATGGAAGGCTGGGTTGTGTGGGGATTTTGTTTTGGTTTGGTTTTTTAGGATTTGTCTGACTGAAAATGAAGAGAAGAGGCAGGATCCGAGTATCCGGGATGTATGCAGAGGCCCAAGAAATTAGAGATGCTTGTTTTGTGGAGCATGTGCCTGGCTCCTGTGTGTAGTGTCCCATGGGTGATGCTTGCAGGCTGACCAGCTGGGATGGCAGTAATTCCTACAGCAGCACATGGCAGGTGGTTGGTGGTCTCCAAAATCTAAGAAGATCAAGTGTCTGAGTCAGCTTGCTTTTGCTTAGGCAGAGAGAATGGATGTGTAACTTCACCCATCTGGTTGATTGTCACTAGTCATAGGTGTGTTTTGAGGTATCCATACACAAAATGTCACACATCCTTGCATAATATTTTACAGTTTTGTCACGTCATTCTGTGCAAGGTCCCATTCACATGATTCTGTACCTGGTTCCCTTCACTTCTTGTCATACCATATCTGGTTCCGTCACGTAGCTGTGTCTGAGAGTAGACATTATTCTCTGAAGAATAGTCCACATTCCAATTTGTTGCAATTTTGAGTAGTTTAATATCTGTTTTTCAGTGCACCCCCCGCCCTC